TAGCCCCCGCTCACCGCAACTAGAGAAAGCCCGTGCACAGCAACAAAGGCCAAACGCACCCAAAAATAAATAAAAATTTAAAATAAATAAATAAAAGACAAATTGGGAGAGAATATATACAACAAATGTTACGAACCATGGGTTAGTATGACAAAGATCTCAATAAGAAAAACACATAAACAGAATGGAAAACAGAAGAAAAGTACAATCACAAAAGGAATATGAAACGGCCCCCAAATGGGAAGGTGTTTCAACTCTCTCCTCTGGGTAACGATCCCAACGACAATTACGGGCAACATTTATTCAGTGCTGGGCACCATATTAAGCTCTTGACACGATTCTCTCTCTTAACTTCCCACATCAACCCAGTATGTAGGTGGGTATCACCATGGTCCCTACTTTACAGATTTGGAAACAGAAACCCAGGGCTTTACTGATCCAGGACAGTAAATGCAAGAGCCAGCCAACAGGGGAGCAACCTGCTGCAAGAGCCCCCTCCATCGCCCCACTTCTCACACTGAGATGGGGTAGTGAGTTCACACAACTCACGCCATTATGAAGGACCCCAAACCAGCACAGTAACAGCCGGGAACTGGAAGTCTCTCATCCTGCCCCTTCTTTTCCTTAACCATCATGTTTACTTAATTTAAATACCTTACATACAGAATAACTACTACACAACGGCCATTTTTGGAATAACAGATAATTCCGGTTTTCATCAATACCCTCTAAGGAGGCCTCTAACTGACAAAATCACGCTGTACGGCTTTGTTCTGTCTGCAGGTGGCAATAGTCACTGGCCCTAATTCATGTCTGGTGATTCCCACACTTTGCATGCCACTGACCCCACAGACACTCTGAAGTTCTGGAGGCACTGATTAATGCTCCAGTGGGCCCTCTTCCACATATCTGTTCTCCTGCCGCCTCGGTTTCTGTAATTTTTAGAAGTAAGCCAAATTCACACCAACTTTAATGCAATTTTTGACTCTGATTTCAAATCCGTCTTGAACTTAACGCTCCTCTCTCCAAATATACCTCCAAATCCATCTTGATGGATACCTGCTTCTTCATTTTCTTTCTTTTTACAGACTTTTCTTGTTGCCAAAAACATGCAAATGTATTATCCACGGAGATTTCCCCCAGGTACCTGTTCTCTTCATTCCCATGACACCTCTGGCTCTCACCCAGCTGCCATGGCTCAGTTACCCTTCCCGCTCCGACGTGGGCCTCTCACAAAGACAGGCTGGGACACAGTCCACATCACAGTGGCCCTGAGGACAACTCTCTGACAGCCGGGCACGCTACAATGCAAGCCACTGACCTGGCCCTCCTTCTCCAACTTCGCACAATGATTCACCTTTTTAGATCATCTCTAAGTACCTGCTGGCTTTTTCCTCTTCAATTCTCTCGTTCTTTTTTTTTTAAGAAATGGAAAATTTTATTCGAGCCAAATTGGAGGATTATAACCCGGGAAGAGCATCTCAGAAAGCTTTGAGAACTGTTCCCAAGATAAACTTTTTATTTTAGAATAGTTTTAGATTTACAGAAAAGTTGCAAAGGTAGTACAGAGAGTTCCTTGAATAGCCCACACACCTGGCTTACCCCTGCATTACTATGGCACCTCTGCCATAACTAATAAATCGGTTCTGATACATCATTACTAACAAGCCCTACACTTTCAGATCTCATCAGTGTCTTCCCTAATGTCATTTTTCTGTTTCACAGGATCCAATTTAATCATCACATCTCCTTAGGTTCCTCTTGGCTTGTGTCAGTTTCTCAGACTTTCCTTGTTTTTAAAGATCTTGACAGTTTTGAGTAGTACTGGTTTGGTAATTTGTAAAACGTCCCTCAAATGAGAATTACCTGTTTTTCGCAAGTCTGGATTGGGTTTTTAGGTTTTGGGGAAGCAGGCCACAGAGATGAAGTGTCATTCACAACAGATCACACCAAGGGCACACATGCCATCAACATAACTGTTGGTGTTGATGCTGACCTTGACCACCTGGCTGAGGTAGCGCCTGTCAGATGGCTCCACTGTCAGGTTACTTACACACCCTTCCACTCTGTATTCTTTAGACACATGTCGCTAAGCAGAGCCCACACTATAGGGTGGGATTTTATGATCTGCCTCCTCAGGCTGTATCTATATAAATTACTTAGAATTCTTCTATGTGGGAGATTTATCACTTCTCTATATATTTATTTATTCAATTATTTATATTCATATAGGTCGATGGATATTTATTTCATACTCTGGGCTATAACCCAAAACTAAGTCATTCATTGTTGCCCAAATGCCCTACCTTTGGTCACTGGGACTCCAATTTGATGCTCTGACACAGCCCCACCACCTGCTTTTCTGAGCGCTTGCTCCTTTCCAGCTCTACAAGATGCTCTAGGCCCATATATCTCCCCCTGCCCCTCGGATCAGGAGTCCTTCTTCCTCTCATTGAAGAATGATATTAGAAACCAAGATCGAGGCACTGGGTACCATCAGAGATTTTTTTTAAAGCTGTGGTTTTAGTGATTTTATAACATAGAAAATAAACCAACATTTCTGTTTCCTTTTTCATTTAAATAACACAAATGTTCCCTCAGAACTGAAAATCAACACGTCCCAACCAACTTATCCTCCTTCCCCCCAAACACGAAATTGTTTCTGTGACTGACATGCCCACTGGCCCAGGACAGAAAACCGAGAATCCCCAGATGCCTCCTTGGCCTCCTTCACCCCAATCCAACCAGGCAGCCAGTCCGCAGACCCTGACTCTGGTAAACTCCCACCTCCACTGCTCCTACTATGGAGTCCACGTCAGAGACTCATTCTTCCTCCAGGAGAAAGGAAAGATGCAACAGTTTCTGGGTTCCCTACTTCCATTTTTAACTTTCTTTAATACCATTCCAATTTGGGAATATGGAATTCTCCACCACAAAGCTCCTCCTGTCACGGACCTGGTTCACCGAGTCATCACGACCTAATCGTCTGGAGGCCTTGTCAACGCCTGGAGCTGTTTACAACACACATCGCCGCCCTCCCCAACGGGCAAGGTGTTCTACCCGCAGTAAACTGACGTCCACGTTTCTGTGTCTTGGCAAATGCTGCGCTCTCTCCCGGGACTGGCTGGTTCCGGAGCAGCAGCCTCCGCCTGCCCACGTTCCTTCTCCACCACTCAGGCTAGACAGCATCTCCCATCAGACCTCAGACATGGAGTACCACCCCACACACACCCTCTAGAAGCTTCTACTTCAGTTCCTACTATATTATTTTACAACTCTGCTTACTGTCTGAGTGTCTCCCTTCCAGCTGTAAGCTTCCTGAGGGTGAAAACTCTGGATTACCCACTTCTGCATCTCTAGCACTTAGCTGCCAAGGACTCAGCACATGCTCAATAATCTTTGTTAAATGAACGAATAAACAAAGAAACAAACGGATATTTCTCAAAAACCTCCATTTGAAATGAGAACAAACCTAGCATGTACCTGAGACAAGACCTTCAATGGTTCCTCTGATTCCGGTCATTTGTATTTTAAGCAGTAGGAAGAGTCTTTCAGGCTGAGGAATGTGACAATTTTAAACAAAAACCTAAACCACCTAAACCACAGTGAATGTTAGTTTTTTTGGGGTTTTTTTTTAAATGTTATTAATGATATTGTTGCTTCTACACTGTCAACTGAAGGGCAGAGAATATTCTACTTAAAATCATTCTGCCTACTAAGATATCCCAATTGATCTCTAAAAGTTTTCATTCAACTCTAACAATTTCGTGTTTTATCCTTATTCAATCTGTTAAGAGGCACAACACTATGTGATGGATGTGTCCATAAACACACAACCACAAATATTTAGTGAGTGCCTTGTACGCTGCACACTGTCACGAAACTTACATTATGCTAATACAGTAGGTCCAGAAACTTACATTGTGCTAATACAGTAGGTCCAGAAATCAAGGGATGAATCCGCGCCACAACGGGACAGGCTGCCCGGGGCGCTACCTCACTTGTCACAATTTGGACAAAGGAGGCTTGTGTGATTGCAAAATAACTATCACGTCTACCACCAGTTATTAGTGCAAATGGTCGGACCTGCTCCATAACTAATTCCCCCAAATATTTACTTCTACTTTTATTTTCAAATGACCATACCTCCCCTGTAAAATCTTGTTTTCAAAATGGTGGGATATTATACTTTCACAGTATGATAGCAGTTGGGCTGACCTGGAAAGTCAAATAAAATCCAAAGCCACGTCAAGTCTCTATTAACGCAGGGTACTTATGGACAACCTTTTACTTCACTGTAGTAACATCTTCCAAATAGCACAAGAATTTCAGTAATAATATGGCCAGGAAAAGTGCTGGCAAAAAGTTGCACCATTGCTAATGAAAATAAAACTGGAAATAACAAATATCAGTGATTTTTTTGCTGAATTAAATATCAACAGATAAAGTGCAGAACTTTCAGCCTCCCAAGACGTAAGCCCCACTCTGTCTTATATGCATTTTAAATACTCTAACGTAACAGTCTAACGACTGTTAACTTCACTATTGGAAAAATATTCAGTTATCCTAAATTTTCTGATACATGAGCAACAACTCCCATCTTTCCACTTTTTTTTAACTAAGGGAAAAAAAAACCCTAATAAACTTATAAAGAGAATAATAACAATTTCATAGTTCAATATAAATTAGAAGTGAAACTCCATCCCAATATGGTTAAATCTACAGAGACAGAAGAGTTTATTATTTATGTGTTAACATGCCAAAGAATATTAACCTTAAGACATTTATCAACAAATTTAAATGTTTGCTAACACAATTAACGTCACCAAGAATTCATTTCTTAATAAAACTTTCCTCTTCCGGATATAAAAGTTTTAGAAACAGTAGTGCTTCAGATTTAATGTTAAGTTTTAAGTAAAGATAAACCAGTAAAATCTACAGTTTGAAAAGTGACTTAGCTCTGAATGCTTGCAGGCAGCGCCTGGACGTGCCGCACTTACTCTAATACTTCATAGTTAGACTTCTTCTCCAGGGCGTTGCCCCGCATCTCCCAGTACGACCGCCTAAAAGCAGAGAAGATACACACTCATAGACTGGTATTGGGAATGTCTGCGATGTTAAATGATTAAAAACCGTGAAAGGAAAAAAAAATAAAAATAAAAAATAAAAAAATAATAAATAAATAAAAACCGTGAAAGGGGGGTATCTAACTACTACGCGGCTAAGCCACAAACGTTCTGATAAACAACGAATAAAGAACCAATTTGACTCGCAGCATTTTTCCTGCATCCTAATGCAGCATAAATCAGTTAACGCAGACCGTATCTCTATTGAACAATCTCACGTTCCCTTTCGATGTGAAGCAGGTCTGGCTCTTTGCAAAATGAGAAACCAGATTCCAGCTGTAAAAAAGATCAGCTACATTCGCTACTTGTACTTGGCCTTTCCTCAAGGGAGAGTGCCAGGAACCCCAGGCTGCCCCTGTGGCCGGTGCGCACCCCACCTGCTCCTGGGAAGACCCACAGTTACTAAGGAAACAGTAAGGGACCTGAAGCAGAACCATCGCAGTGGGCTAGTCCAGGTAACAGGCGCCAGGCTCGGCAGAGAAGTGCTGCCTATCTCGCTGAGTGTTCACAGTCTGAATTTTACCTCTTATTCCAAGTTACATGTTCAAGCAATTTCAGGTCTTACTGGAACCAAGTCCTTTCTCTGCAAAATCTGCCCCAAGTGGGTGGGATTCTCTGCGTGTACACAGTTATCTCACAAAGGGACAAGGTCTAGCTCCAGCTGCTTTGGAACACACAGATATTACAAATCATCTGAAGTGATTTCCCAGGAGAATGCGTAATCAACAAGACCGTTTCAAACTCGTCTGTAATAACATGAATACTGGTTTTGCTTTTTAAATTTGTTTGACTTTTTCTTGGCCTACTTAAAATCGAAAGTACTAGATTTTGACAAAAAGTTTTAAAGGGCCCAAAAAGGATCACTTAATTTGTTCTCCTGTTTTCTATTCATGTGGGGGAGGAGTTTGGGAGGGGCAGCTGGACGGGTGACTACTTTGTCAAGTTTTTCCTTCAGAGTTCAAAAATCAGTGACCTCAAACAGGGGAGAGGAGGAGAAGGATAAACGTAACATGGAGAGGCCAGAGTGAGAGGGGAACCCAGAGAGGCACGCATGCCATTCACGTAGGGCCTAATGCTTCTGGACCCCTCTTTCAAGTAATACATCACAGCATTGTCTGTGGGAAGGAAAGAGCGCCAAGTTTGTTTCCCAAGCAAAAACTGTAAAGGCCAGGAACGGGAAGAGACCAGTGAGAGATGGCTTTTTTTTTTTTTACTGGGATATATAATTAAGGTTGAAAACAAATTTTAATGAAGAGTTGAGAGTTATACTTAATGATCTTTGGGTCCTTGTAGGAACCGTTATTTGATAGCCTTATATAATATAAAAAACAGTGATCTCTCGGGAAAATTATCACTAACTGTTTTGAGTACACATAATCGAATTTTAGCTAATTTAACCAACACATCTTAAACTAGCAGCCTGGGGTAATTTTTTTTTTTTTTTTGGCTGCGTTGGGTCTTCGTTGTTGCCCACGGGCTTTCTCTAGTTGCGACGAGCGGGGGTTACTCTTTGTTGCGGTGTGCGGGCTTCTCACTGCAGTGGCTTCTCTTGTGGAGCATGGCTCTAGGCGTGCGGGCTTCAGTAGTTGTGGCTCACGGGCTCTAGAACGCAGGCTCAGCAGTTGTGGCACACGGGCTTAGTTGCTCCGTGGCATGTGGGATCTTCCCAGACCAGGGCTCGAACCCGTGTCCCCTGCACTGGCAGGCAGATTCTTAACCACTGTGCCACCAGGGAAGCCCCAAGCCGGGGTAAATTTTAATTAAAATTATACCTGACAAAGGTAAAATATTTCTTTCACTCCAAGTTTTAAATGGTGGCACAGAATATATGACAAATGGTGACAAATGTTATCAGAAATAAGAAATACATTCTCAGTTTCCCATCCCCCATAATGGCAGCCATTAGACATAAATGGCTATTTATGTTCAGATTTAATGTTCAGATGCTGCACATCTGAGTACTCAGCATCCAGCTTGGCTAGTGGCTGGCACATGGGATCTCACAGATACTGAACATTTCCTTCATCACAGAAGGTTCTATTGGGGAGCTCAGCCTTAGACTTGCTTACATACTTGTACTCTTATAAGTCATTCAATTCTAAATGTAATATTTTAAAAGATTCTAAAATTAGCAATGTCAACATAATTCAGAGTATCATCAAATTTTACTCATTTTATTCAGTACTTTATTGATAATCTTTATCAGGAAAGAAAAATACCTAGAAAAAATAACAGAAAACACTGTTGAATGAAGACCTCAATGTCTAGTTACCACCTTACCGTATTTCTAGACAACCCAACTTCAAAGCAATGTCCTGGTCCACTTGATCAGCGACCTCCAACATATAATCGCTCTTCACCTACAATAAAAAGGAATGGGTAAAATAATGTTGCTGTAAGAGAATATGTTTTAAACTTAGTCATTAAGTATATGTTTACTGGGTGCCATTTACATGCTTTATACACACTGTGTCAATAATCACGCTAGATGCTGTATATAAAATGAGTAATACCAAAGAATAGTTAAAGACTCAAACAGTCTTCCTTTGTGAAGAACACATACGATCTATGAGCACTTAAGCATCATCTGGATCACAATAACGTCAAGCTGCTTTCTACCCTCCATGTTGTCAAAGGGAAAACAAGACGGGAGAGCTCCATTTCCAGGCAAATTTGCGGTGGCTGTTATTTTCTGAACTCAAACTACAGTCCCAGCACCATTTTTTGGACCTCAATGCAAAGGCAAAGAAAACTAACGTTATTTCAAAATCCATTTAATCCTGCAACTGGTGTGATTCCACCTAACCATCAACTATAAGTGATTCATCTGCAAAGTGCCAACATGCTTGAAGTGTGATATAGAGAAGGATCTAACAAATTGTACAAAGGCCTTCCAACCAATGACTGTGAGGGACTGATATCAGTATCTGCGAGCACTCATCAGTGTGAAGATGTTTTCAAAGATGAAATATGTAAAATCTCACAGCTTTGCATCAAGAGATCAAGATCTGCAATTGATTTTGATGACAAGGAGCATTCATTCTGAACTTCGATTAAGTGAAATGTTACTCCTCCCCCAAAAAGGAACTTCTGTTCCTCTCATTAGTAGACCTTTATTACAAAAAAACCACACTCAATTATTATATTATGAATTTCACCAATACAAAACTCCGTGGAAATCTGTCTTGTCTCTTGTTATATAAGTATTTCATAATACCCTCCCCTCCATTTGGCCTCTTGGTCCTCAACCCTAAAATATTTACTCTCTGGTCCTTCACAAAAAAAGTATGCTGACCTCTGCCCTAGGAAAAACTCCACAGATCCTGTTCTATGGCTACCTAGCCTGTCAGTTCACTCGTTCAAAAGATTTCTAGTCCCAAGTTAACTACTTTGCCAACCTTATAGTGATAGTTCATAACCTTCCCTTGAAAAGACCCCCACACTTCCCAACCTCCTTCTTCCCGTTATTTTAATTCCCTGGCAAGACCAGGAAATACTGAAACCAGCCACCCACCTCCTTCTCCACGCTTACTGCCGAGCAACTGGAGAAACTCTGCTCTGTGCTTCGCTTTACGTTCACGAAGACAAACCTCAAACGATCGCCTGAGGCTGCTTGGAAATTCGGCAATGCCTGCCTAGGAAGCTTGGCAACACACTGATTCACACTTTCTCCAGTCAACCAGCCACATCTCTTTCTTACAGAGAAAATAAAAGTCTTCAGACGGGGATGCCCTCTTTAACGTACCAGAGCCTATAACCTGAGGGGCACGTGTGCTCACCTACTCACTCCTTTCAGGACGGAGGCGATGCCCGCTCAGCCAGCAGTGATCTATTTCTGACCTAAACGCCATTTCCTCTGAAACCTTTGCTCTATTTTCTGCATTAGCACCTCTACCTAGGTGGTCCATAAACACTGACTGACTGAAGACTGAGCAAATGAATGAAAGAATAAAGTCATCAAACTACGGTTTGGATACCTCTGTGTGTAAATGTTATTTTCCATAAGAGTTACAAGCAATAGTAATTTCTATTCCTTAAATATAGCAGGCATTTAAGACTGATTCAATACAACTGAATTATTCAACCCACTAAATTAAGTAAACAGCTTTGATTCTAGAATCACTCAGTTTACACTTCAATTGGCTCTTTCTCCTCTATAGCAAAAAATAAATCCAAATTTTAAAACTAACTTTTTTGCATCATAAGTAGGTTTATTACTAAACACAAAAATGGACAGATGAATCAAGACTGTATTTATGTGAGTTAGAGAAACACCACAGTTGTTCTGACTGAAGCATTCAGTGGATCTTAGCTTATGGTTTGGTGCAGACTTTGAAGCAACCAGAGCAGAACGGCAATTACATGTTGAGGAAAATGCATTATTACAAAACTATCTTAAGATTAGTTACTATAATCTTTAAACACTATTCAAAGGTGGAAAAATGTTATCACATGCTTTATTCAGTCATCAAAACCAAATTCATATTAATTGCAAAAATGAAAAAAAAGAGAAAATTAACAACGATCTTTATGGAAAATCCCTTTAGTTATGAACATGACTTAAAAGTTCTGAGAGTTGTTTTTTTCTTACAGTAACAATCTACTACTCTCGACTCAGAGCTGTATGACTACGGCCTGAGGCCCATTCACTGCGTGCAGTGATCCATGTTTTCTGCCAAGTGTGTTGATCCACCATGGAACCAGCCATCTCAGCAGACCCTCCCCTCCTCCTTACCCCACCCTGTGGCAGCTGCCCTCTGTGAGGACAGAGAGCAACCCCCCCGCAAGGTCCCTGTCACCCAGGCTCCAGAGGGGCTGTTCTCTGGACCACTGTGCACATCACGTCCTGATGTTGGGCTCATGCAATTTTCTTCAAAATGTAGGGTTTTTAACACTCAGTGTTCATTTTTTTATAAAACACTTCTAACTTTCATGCTTTCATTTGTGAAATAAATGCAATTTATTGAACATTTAAGTGTGCGTATGTGTAGCTATATAGTTGCTTACAGTAAATATACTCACATTGCCACGTCAGGCAGATTTATACATAACTCTCATTTAATATTCACAGCATCACTGTGAGTTGGACCCTACTATAATCCCCAATGAAGAGCCTTAGAAAGAACCTAAAAAGAATGAAGATGATAGCAGGAACTACTTATTATTCCAGGGGTTAGGTATTATGCTGTTTTAGATACATTATTTATAGTCTGTTCAATAACTCTTCAAGATAGGCCTCAGTCCTATTTTATACACAAAAAACAGAAAGCTTAATTACTCAAAATTAATGTACTCAAGGTCACACAGCAAGCGTTAAAGTTAAAACTCAAAAACCCATCCACTGACCCCCATAACTCAAGCTTCAGTGTGTTCCTATACCTTCTTGTGAACTCTCAGAAAGTGTAGGCATTCTCCACTAGAAGGAAGATTAATGACCAGTAAGGACCACAGCTCATAACCCTGGTAGTCCCAGGGTCTAACATGATGGCTTCACGTGCATGTCTTAGTTTGTTTTACCACTGTCATTGTGTTATATTCTTTTTTATACCATGGATTACTACTGTTTATTAACTCCAAATCCAGCAAATTTCCAAGAGTCTTTCAAGCAAAGATCTCTGAATGTTGTTCTTTGTTTTATTAAATTAATTTGTTTCCATATGGATGTCAGTTTCCTGCTTAAAAAACAGGATGTATCTGGACTTCCTTCTGTGGGCAAGCAGTATATTTACATTCATGAGTTTTTTCACCTTATTCTGCAACAGAACTAAAGCACAGGTTTTAATATAAAAACCACTCACATCTCTAATAAAAGTACTAATCCTAATCTGCTCCATCATTTATCCCATATGCCACGTCAGTGCTTTGGCTGCCACGTGAGATCTTTTGTCTTGCTTTGGTCTCTTCTGAATATTCTGTCAGCTACATGAATTTATCAAATAGACCTGAAAGTCCTCGATAGTGTGTGTAAAGAAAATGGGGCTGCTCCATCATTTATCCCATATGCCACGTCAGTGCTTTGGCTGCCACGTGAGATCTTTTGCCTTGCTTTGGTCTCTTCTGAATATTCTGTCAGCTACATGAATTTATCAAATAGACCTGAAAGTCCTCGATAGTGTGTGTAAAGAAAATGGGGCTGAGGGCAGACAAATGTGTATATAACCATCTACATCATACACCGCCTGAGTGATCCGAGGCAGTCGGCCAAGTTGGCTCAACTGTCAGGCACTCCTCCCTGAGTTCTGTGAGAGCAAAGAGTGGAGTGTTTGTATGCAGAAGGAACCCAATGGCAGTTCTCAATTAAAACAAACTCCTTGGGCTTCCCTGGTGGCGCAGTGGTTGAGAGTCCGCCTGCAGATGCAGAGGACACGGGTTCGTGCCCCTGTCCGGGAGGATCCTACATGCCACAGAGCGGCTGGGCCCGTGAGCCATGGCCGCTGAGCCTGCGCGTCTGGAGCCTGTGCTCTGCAACGGGAGAGGCCACAACAGTGAGAGGCCCGTGTACCGCAAAAAAAAAAAGGAGATGACCAAAGCTAGAAAACCAGTACGACAATAAGTGTTTCCATTGTTTCTTTTTTCTTGTCCATATATAATGGAAAAGCAACCACAAATACTAGAGGTACTTGAAGAATCATATCAGTTTTTAAGAAGATCTATGCTGAGAGTGCACGCGCGCACACACACAAGCCAATGGGATTTCTCAAATTCCAAAGGCATACCGTTCCTTTGTTTCTTGGATTTTTTTGACATCTTCTAATAAATCTCATCCAAATTTTTGAACATCAGGGCATTAGCATTAAAACTCAATCATCACTAATAAGTCATTTGAGAGAATCAATTAGGCACCTAAAACCCATGTCTTACTGTGTTGTGGACACAATGGTGAAGGCAGACTTTACGTCTGCCCTCACTGAACGGCACACTCTATTAGTGGGGGCAACAGATAATAACAGGGAAATACAACGTGCACACAACAGACCCGTGACTGCCAGGGGTTAGGAGAGGGGCAGGCTGTGACCAAGCAGCACCAGGGAGCTTCTCTGTGTTGGTGAGACACTTCTGTGTCTTCATTACAGTAGTAGTCACATGCATCTGTACCTACGATAAAACTGCATAGAACTACACACACACTCTTACACACAAACACAGGAGTGCACGTAAAAACTGGTGAAATCTGAACATGATCTGTAGTCTACCTAGTAGTATTGTATCAATGTCAATTTCTCTATTTTTGTATTGTACTATATCATGATTGTAATGGAAACTGCTCAACTAAACACATCTGTCAGAACTCACTGAGCTGTACACTGAAGTTAGTGCTTCTTTTTTATTTTTTTTTTGGCAGTACGCGGGCCTCTCACCG